CTGAGCACTATTGGTTTCATAAACCTTCTCTGAGATTAAAGTGGCCATTTAGAGAGAGAATGAGAGGGAGGTGATTTGGAGGCACAGGGCTCTCAGGAAAGGAGAACACAGTGTGGGGTTTGAATAACCAGAGAGGACAAAGGGCTATCTGGAATTATGGAGAATGAGTACTAAAATTAGGGAGCTTTAAAAGGAGAGGAGGCCACTCAGCACCCATTACTCCTTCTGTGAAGAGATGCTTGGGGCACACCTCAAATGAAAGTACAGATCTGTGTGGTCTGTACTTTCATGACCCCATTTTTATGACCCCATTCTGTGCTCTGGCCCTCGTTTCCCTTGCCTCTTCAATCTGTTTTGAATGTATGCTTTCTTGTATTTCATGTATGCTTTGTAAACTGCCTTCAATCCTTTCTGAAGCAAGAGAATAGCTAAACAAGCAAAGCAACAATAACAGCAAACAACAACAACAACAACTCACAAGCTTAGGGACACCCCATATTTACTTTAATATTCTGAGATTTGATGAACAAAACCATATTCACCCTGCTCCCTCCTTTGTGAGTGTATTCTAGATTTTGACAGGTTCCCTCCTTGTCTCCCCCAGTAGTCTGGCCAGTCACCACCTTTCATTACCAAAGGCTCACCTGGCCATGCTCACTGGGTTGAAACCAACCAGGACTGACAAGTAGATGGCTGGGTTATCCATGCAGTAGTCCATCTGGCCTGCCATAAAAGGAGCCTGATGGTAGGGAGAGAGAGGACAGCATGCTAAATGGAGGGTTACTCCAGTGTTTCCTAAGGCCCATAGGCATCAGAATCCCCCAGAATGCTTGTTTAAAATGCAGGTTCCCAGGCCCAGTTAAGATCTACTGGATCCAAATTTGAAGGGGAGAGCCCATGGATCTATATTTTTAACAAGTTTCCCTAGTAGAATGTTCTGCAGAATGAAGTTTAAAAACTACCGAACTCGCCCAGCTATTGTTGCTCAATGGTTGAGCATCAACCCATGCACCAAGAGGTCACAGGTTTGATTCCCAGTCAGGGAACATGCCCAGGTTGTGGGTCAAATCCCCAATGCAGGGCGTGCAGGAGGTAGCCAATCAATGTTCTCTCTTATTGATGTTTCTATCTTTCTCTCCCTCTCCCTTCCTCTCTATGTAAAATCAATAAAGAAAAATAAATAAGTAAATAAATAAAAACTACTGAACTAAATTGTAAGCTCCTTGAGATCAGTGTCCTGCTCATCTTATGTGCCTCCTTTCACATCTAGCACTGCTGGGGTGTAGTTTTTGCTCAGGGAATTCTTAGAATCAGAGAGCTGAGAAGAAACTTGGGATCATCTAGCCCAGTGCTTCTCAAACAAATTACCTGGCTATCTTGCTAAAATGCAGATTCAGACTCAGTAGGTCTGTGGTGGAGCCTGAGATTCCGTATTTCTAACAAATCCCAGGTTACATTGATGTCACTAGTGCAAGGACCACACTTCGAGTAGCAAGGGATTAGTCAAGGGATCAGCTTTTTCTGTAAAGAGCCAGAGAGTAACTATTTTAAACTTTGGGGGCCCTAGGGGACCCTATGATCTCTTTCCAACCATTTAACCCTATTATTATAACATGAAAGTGGCCACAGACAACAGACAATACAAATGGCTGTGTTCCACTCTGGCCGGTTTGGCTTAGTGGTTAGAGTGTTGGCCTGCGGTCCAGAGAGACCCAGGTTCGGTTCCCGCTAAGGGCGAGTACCTCGGTTGCAGTTTGTCCCTGGCCCTGGTTGGTCATGCAGGTGGCAGCCACTCATTGTGTCCTTTTCACGTTGATGTTTCTCTCTCTCTCCCTCCCACTCTATCTGAACAAAAAATGGAAAAATGTCCTCAGGTGAGGATAAAAACAAAACAAAACAAAACAAAAACAAATGGCTGTGTTCCAATAAAACTTCATTTACAAAAACAGGCAGTAGCTGGATTGACTTGCCAGCACAGTTTGCTGACCCCTGGACTAGTCCATTTATCTTGGTCATTGAATGGGTTGGTACACAGTTATTCTGAGATAGGATCCCTTCCCCCCTCATCCCACATTCATTCAACTGAATCCGAATTAGTGAGATTAAAATCAAAATTCCTTGAGAAAACCCTTTCTGTTTTCTAGAACCTACCTTTTCAATCTATATTTCATGCTATTCCATTCCCACCCCCCTCCTCCCTATAAAATTGATCCACCCAGTCCATCTTTACACCTACAGAGAATTCCACCAAAATGCAAATGACAATCACCCTCTTCTTCCCAGCAGCCACCTAGGAGAGGATGCAACCAGGTGCGGTAACGCAACCAGGAGGAGTCTAGGGTACAAAGCTATTTTGAGGGAACGTCAAGGCCAGGACCAGGGAGTAATGGGCTTTGGCTGGATGTTGGGGATTATATGTTCCCGTGAGAAGGAATAGACAGAGATCTCTGGATGAGTATTAGTGGAAAATACAGACCTTCCTCAGTTCCTCAATCCCATGCAGGGCACTATCTTATGTCCCCTCCTTAGAAGCCACCACAGACCTAAGAGAACAGACTCAAGGTCAGTGGCACTGGTGGGAAGCAGAAGCTCATGGTTTATTTGGGCAGGCTGCTGTGAGAGAAGAGAATGAAGGGAAAACAATCATTGAATGAGCACCTACCATTTGTTGGGCACCATGGTGACACTCTGTAGGGTTAAAAAGCCACTTGCACCATGGTGGTCAGAATTGATTCACTGCAGAGTCTCTGTAGAGGACAAGCAGGAATGAGAAGACAAGAAGAGGATAGTAGTTTGGGGTGGGGATGAGATGGAGGGGCTTTCAGGTTTCTAAAATTAGGGACTGTGGTCTGAGAGGGCAGAGCTTGGAGGTGGGGATGGGATTGGCATCTTTATTTGCAGTGTCCAGGGGATAGGTCTAGGTCACCTGGTATGTGGGCATAGCTTGACCCTCCTCCTGGAAGGTCTCAGCAACACATTGCCCCAGCAATTGAAAAATTTGCTCAGCATCTGTTTTGTTCATGTCCGGGGTCAGTGGGTTTGACTTCTCTGTGATTGGCAGGACTGCATCATACCCAGACAACTAGAGGGAAGATATAGACAGAAAGCCAAAGCCTCATTCATGACTAGTGAACTGGAGGTAGGAGGGGCAGTAGTCACGATGTTTGTACACACACACACACACACACACACCCATGGACTTAGCCTGCACTTGGTATTCTGGGCCTATTAGTGAAAGAAGATCAGGAAGGAGGGGAAGACCAGAAGGAAGTCCAAATGAGAAATAATTCTAGGAATCAGTGCAGAAGCCCAACATGAAGAAAGGTCTCACTTCCCATTTGCTGGGCTCTGGGGTCTTAATCACAAGTTGAAACCATGTGCCCAACATGGTCCCATGCTGTGGACATACTATCCTGCCTGCCTTGCAGCCACACAAGCTTTCTGTCACACTGCCTCTGCTTCCAGCTGTCAGGGCCTTATCTGAGCCACAGTGATGATTATCCCAAGTACCCTGGTCCCTCGGAGCACCACCCTCTCTGAGCTCTCTACCTGTACCTTTTCCTGGTCTCTAGGCTTCTGGTAACCCTGGGGAAGCCTCTGGAGTCCCTCTTTTCATGCACCTAGACTCCCCAGCCCCAGCTTTGCCCCTGAAGAGGAAGACCCAAGGTTCATTACTGTTGCCCTTCAGTATAATAACCTCTTTCTGGATGGCCTGGAGCCAGGAAGTGTAGAACTATACCCAGGCTCAGTCCCAGGGCAGGGGGAATCCCTGGGCAAGAGTGCTCTGGGACCAGGAATATATCAGGAGACCAAAGATCAGGGTCCTCAGGGTCAGCAGAAGTCAGAGGGCGGGGCCAAGGCTTGATCACGTGCTCAGTGCACATAGTTGTCCAGTCATCTGTGCCCTACCTGCCCCATTTCATTCTCCTCTCAGTAGGAAGATAACAGAAGCTTCAGAGTGCCAGGGGTCTGCACACTGGACTGGATATTACAGGAGAAGGTGCCACAGAAATAGAAATGCTGCAATCTGCCCTGAATACTTTAGCCGCATTTATTTACATTGAACAAAGTTCTATTCACATACAGTATATCATTTGATACAGTAACACTAAAAGGACAATATTAATACCTTCACTTTTCAGATGATGAAATTGAGGTTCAGAAGTTGTCAGTTGCTGAAGATCACACAGCTGACAGAATTGGCACTCACATCCAGGTTCTAACTCCAGATCTCATGCTCAGCCAAAGGATGAAAAAATGTGCTATTTATTAGATATTTATTGAATGAATAAAGTAACTAACAAATTGGTGCAAATTAATAATCTCTCATTCACAGTGTTGCAAGATTTGTAAAGATCATTCCCCAACATTGTCTCATTTGATCCTCACTACAGCTCTGTGACATTTTGGATTCTGATTTACAGGTGGGAAACCTGAGACTTAGATTAATCAATTTCCCCAAGGCTACACAGACTCCTAAGTCCTTGCTCTTTAAATTTCCCTCTAAAAATACACTACTCTTAATAATCGCACTATCTCAGGCCCTTAACATTAACGTATCTCAGGCACATAGGAGAACCTCAATAAATATTTGCTTAATAAATGAAAGAATGAATGAGCGACTGAAGGGAATAAATATCACATTATGAATGAGGAAAAGACTTAAAAGCTGACGCAGTCTACAAGTAGGAGATTGTTGAAACAATTTGTATCTCCATCACTCTGTCCCCTCCGGCACTCTTGGCTAGTTCCATCCGGGGAGGGTGGGGCAATCCCCGGTGCCCGAGGCCCTCGCTCCAGTACCTCTCCCAGTGCCCCGTGGGCTCCTGGAACTGAGCTGGGGGGATCTGAAGGAATAGGGGCCCAAGAGCCGCCAATGGGAGGGTTGTGGGAGGAGCCCCGAGCACAGGGGGTGGGGTGAGGAGGGGTAATGACGGCAGCAGGAACCCCAGCAGAGCGGGGCGGGGCGGGGGCCGTGCGTCCTGGCTAGGCTGCAGCGGAGCGAGCGGGGCCAGCTCTGCAGAAGGCGGCAGCTGGCTCGCTGGAACGGTCACATTCGGCTGCAGGCGCCGACGGAGACAGCCGCACAGCCTCCCGCACCAGGGACCCAGGCCAGCCGCCAGGCCGCGCCGGCACCGCCCTTTGCTCACCGAGAGACTACGCCGCCGGTGCGAGCTCTGGGGGCCCCGCAGCCCCTCAACCCGCGCCCGCTACGCCTCCGCTCTCTGCCCGCATCTCGGCCCCTTGCTACCCGCCTCGACGGGCCCGCGCCGGAATGGGGTAGGGGCAGCACCACCAACTCGGGCGATGGGTCGCCCACTGGGCACCGAGCAGCCCCCCGAGGCCTGACCGACCGCGAGGACCGGCGGAGGTGGGTGTGGGCAGGGCAGAGCCGCGCACTGGGGGCGCCTGGGTGATGCGGAGGCGGGGAAGGAATGGGGAAAGGGGGGCGCTCTGGGGCTGTTGTGGGCGATGGGAAGTCCGGGAGAGTTGCTGCCCACACACGTGCGTTCTGGACAGCCCTTGACCCCTGCCCCCCAACTCTTGCCATCTCCAGGAGCCCCGCCTGGATGTCAGGCGGATGCCCCAGTGCCTCCTAGCGGACTCAGTGGAGACCATGGCTTCGCTGATGCCCCTCTCCCCTTATCTAAGCCCCACGGTCATCCTGCTGGTCAGTTGTGACCTGGGCTTTGTGCGAGCAGGTGAGTAAAGGAAACCGGGGTGGGGACTAACTAGAGTTAGTCTGTGGGTGGAACCTGTTAACCTGTTAACATACTGGCACTCACAGACAGGCCTCCATCTCCTGTGAATGTGACAGTCACTCACCTCAGAGCCAACTCGGCCACTGTGTCCTGGGACGTCCCAGAAGGCAACATCGTCATTGGCTACTCCATTTCCCAGCAAGTATGAATCACCCTTCTGCTCCCCTAACTTGTGTCCTTGGATCTCTGAATATTCCTTTGAACCTCACCCAACCAAGCTCCCTCCCAGCCCTGGGAGAATCTGGGAGCCGGTGTTCCCTGGCTCAAGCTGCCCTTTTCACCCTACTCCTTTGGCTTGGATGTTCGATAGTGCTGGGTTGAGCCTGTGGCCTGGGACTGGGGTGAGACTGCCCTCCTCTCTCTCGTTGTCTTCCTGCAGCGACAGAATGGCCCTGGACAGCGTGTTATCCGGGAGGTGAACACCACCACTCGAGCCTGTGCCCTCTGGGGCCTGGCTGAAGACAGTGACTACACAGTGCAGGTCAGGAGCATCGGCCTCCGGGGGGAGAGCCCCCCAGGGCCCCGGGTACACTTTCGAACTCTCAAAGGTTCTGACCGGCTGCCTTCAAACAGCTCAAGCCCAGGTGAGTCTCAGTTATTTCCCACTCCCTAAAGCTTTGCATTCTCTGGCTTTTTATCTGGACTTTAGCCTGTTGTTTACTTCTCCAAAGCAAGCAACAGTCTAGCTTAGATGAATAGAATGATGATTTAATTTGTTGTACTGCCAGGAAAGGAAGGAAAGCAGGTTGGCAGGCAACTGGGTATAGACAGGCTGGTAATGAATCGTTTGGAGGAAGGGCTTTTAAGCTTCCTTTTACCCAACCTCAATTCACAGCAGCTGCAGCCTGCATGAACAAGTACCTGACCTGTAGCCCTCCCGCTTTTTGGCCTTCGACCACTTGTCCATCAATGGCTTCCCAGAGAGAGGCTACCAGGGGCAATGCTGTGATGGGTCTACCCTGACTCCAATCCCCAGCATCTTCATCCTTAACTGTCTGCACAGACATAGCTCTCTAGCTATTCCCCACATGTGGAGTCTGTCTCCTTCCTTCTCAGGTGACATCACAGTGGAGGGTCTGGATGGAGAGCGACCACTGCAGACAGGGGAAGTGGTCATCATTGTGGTTGTGTTGCTCATGTGGGCTGGTGAGTGAGCAGCTGGACAGGGGATCAATGATTGAGAGAATGGGGCTCAGTGAAGGTGGGAGGTGGTGAAGACTATTGGGAGAAGAGGGAGTGAGAGACATGGAGTGGGAAGATGCCTAGTTGAGGGGGATTAGCAGAAGTTTGGAGAGAGGGAGAGGAGGCTACAGGGAGCCCACAGAGGAAGATTAAGAGGGTGGTGCTTGTGCATGGGCACCAGGAATTTAAAGATTTTCTGTAAACTGTGGGTATCTCACTGTCCTTTGATTCAAGGCTCAGATTGCATTGTTGTGTTTCAGCTGTAATCGGGCTGTTCTGCCGTCAGTATGATATCATCAAGGACAACGACTCTAACAACAACCCCAAGGAGAAGGGGAAGGGGCCAGAGCAGAGTCCTCAGGGAAGGCCAGTGGGGTCAAGACAGGTGATGTGGGGCCAGTGAGGGAGGGAAGGGTGAGTTTACCTCTAGGAGCATCATGGGAAAAGGGAGAAGGCCAAGGAGGGGCAGGAAAAGGGAGAATGGAAATTTGGGATAGAGGAAGCTATTATCTTCCTGAAATTAGAGACTCAATCCATTTTCATTCACAGAAAAAGTCACCATCTATCAACACCATAGATGTATGAGTGAAGAAACAGAACCAGAAGAGAGATGCACTAACAACCTGGGGATGGGGATGGGGTCAGGGAGAGCCTAAGATGATGATCTGCCCAAGACTGAAGGATCCCACAGTCTCCCAGAAGATAATGACACTCCCACAGTCTCAGGCCTGGTACCCATCCTCTTTCCACTGTGAACGGGGCCAGAAGGTAGGTCTGTGAGAGTCTGTGCCCCTGAACCTGGGGCGTGGATATCAGATGGGATATGTCTTTCCATCCTCCAGGTCAAGGGGAGAATCACTTGTTTAACCCTATCCCATTAGGTCCTAAATGGAGCCCCCATTTCACCTGCATCAGGACTCTCAGCATCCCCAGCTGCCCCCACATCTTGTCTCTGGGTCTCAGAGAGGGGTTTCTATGGGTATTCCCCCTCTCCTGGCAAATAAAAAATGACAGACACTGCACTGCACTACTCCAATGTCTTCCATGGAGCCTCAGGTGCTCCCCCTCTCACCTGGCAGCACCCCCAGCTGCTGGTGATTTCACCCCTTGGACATTTTTCCAATAAAGGTTCTTGGACAAACTGGAGCTGACTGTATAATATACTGTCAAGACATTTCCCCACCTTCTCTCCTCTGACTGCAAGGGTCCCTCACACCACCACCAACTTGACAGGAGCAAACTCTCATTTTAAGATATTTGCTTTGATTCTCCAGCCTGGAATGGGTGGAGAGGGGCCAGAAAAGGATATAGAAAACTAAAGCCCTAGTTCCTTTTGCTTTGTTGGGTGAGAAATGGGAGAAGGAAAGAAGACATAAATTCTTCCTGCACTAGTGGAAACTAAGGTTATATCACATGAGAGGGCCAGTAGCCTTTTTATCTTCACATCAGCAGCCCAGCTCCTCACCATTTATTCCTCTGACTCCTCCATCAACTCTGAGCTAATTTTCAGAAAAGGACTGAATAGTGTCTTAGGATAAATGAAAGAGCAGCTACACTAATGGATCCCACAGTGCCACATGCTCCTCCTGTGTGTTCCTGTGCCTATTCCCTGCCCTTTCTTATCCTTTTGTCTCTGTTTCTGTCTCTGTTCATTCAGTCAAGGTCAATAATAATAGTAAGCATAAATTACTTTATGTTCACTCTCTGCTACTATATCCAGAGGAGGATTCTGGAAATAAAGATAACGGGTTCAAACTCCCCTGTCAAAGAATTATAATTTGGACTCTTGGCCTGTTTCCTGTAAAAATAGGAGCTGTCCCCAACTCTTTCCTAAGTTCCACGGTCAGTTGGTGCCAGTGAAATACCAGTTGACATTTGCAACCACTGTGGAGAAAAGGCTTCAGAACCCAGAATCTGCCTGGACAGCATATGCTACACTTTCTGGAGGGTTACAGGTCTTCTCAACTTCAGATTTTTCCAAAGGAGGCTTATGAATAACTCCTTTTCTGAATTTTGATCTCTCTGGTATGTTACAATAAATTAAACTAATAATTCTGAAAGAGACCCCTAGCCAAACAAAGATCAAGTCATTATCTTTTCTACTTAACCAAGCTCCAACCCCGGGTTTCACAAAATAACCGTAACCTACCAAGTGAGTCAATTTCTGATTTGCTGTCCACCCTGAACCTGATGTAATCAGTCGTCTTTAATCCACCATTACCCAATTTGGACACATTACATTATTTTCCCTTGGCCACTGGTTCCAAAACACTCATCTCTCAGACTGAACACATAATTTCTTAGAATGGAAGTGTCAGGGGGTATAGTGGCATGGAGATAGGGAAGTAGGAGTTAAAAAGGAATATAAAGGGTGTGCAAATGCTCCAGCTCTGTGTTGAATCCCAGTTCCATCCTTAACTGTTAGTTTGGGCTAACGACCCCTGTAATCCTGAGTCTCCTGTTATGTAAAATGGGACCAATAATGCTATTCCCTTCAAAAGATGGCTTTGAGCTTAAATGAGATAATGCATGTGCAACACTTTGCACAGTAAACGTGGCAGACGCATACTGAGTATTTACTCTTAGATATCATCATTAGGTGTGATCTTGTGCAAGTTATATAACTCATATGGGTTCAATTCTGTCAACTGTAAAGGGTCTAGAATAGCAACCTCTCTGCTTTAATTCAGGGCTGCGAGAATTAAAAGAATGCATTCAGTCATGCTTCTGCACATCAGAGAGAGAAAGGCTGTGATCATACAGACCCCGGGTTTACAGCAGGCTTGCGAGCGTGGCTTGATCGTAAATCGGCATGCAGCGCCGGGATTGGCCAAGGAGAGGATTAATCAAATCTCGGGTCCCGCCCCAAATCTCACTGCGCCGGCGCACGTTCTGTTTGCTTCGCCGCGAACCTACGTGGTGACCTCGCGACATGTGTTGCGCTCTGGTTGCAGTTGCGTCAGCGGCGTAGCTGTGGCTGCGTTACGGGTTGTCCAGGTAACCACGGGAGTTGTTGTCTGGTGGCATCTGAGAGACAGGTGTTCGTCATGCATTTGAAGCACCTGAAAACCCTGCTGAGCCCTCAGGTGAGGAGTTGCGTGCCTCTTCCCTCCCCTCGCCCTCTTTAACATTCCAAGAAAAGTGGGGGACTGAAGTTTAATAATGTTGAGCGCCTGCGGTGTGGAGAAGACTGAAGGCTAGAGCGATGATTGGGACCCTGCTGCGTCTGTAGTGTACAGCAGGCGAGATGGACGGCTAACCACTGCAGCTTTTATTGCATTTCATTTAGCATCAGTGTTGTATCAGGCCCCGTGCTGGGACTCGGAAGGATCCAGAACTAGCTGTTGTTCCTGCCTTCAAAAAGCTCGAGCTAAAGGGAGAGGAGAACATGTAAACAATGAACATAGACCTACACTGAATTAAATAAGCGCTTTAAGTGCAAGCCCCAAAGAGGGAGTGAAGAACGCACCGTTCGATCTGATGGTGAAGATGTCTAACTCAGAAGAGGCTGGGTACTGGGGGAGGAACCCTGGAACATGGTGAAGAAAGGCTGGGTTTTGGCATTAGGAAACCAGAATTCAAGTCCTAGCGCCACTACTTTAAATAAATGACCTGATACCTCAGACTTTGGCCCTTATCACAGTCTCTCTCAGCACTCACTCTAATAGCAACCTTAGGGGATTTGGGAAGAGCTGAAGGATGTAATAGACACAAAAGAACATTGTAAACCGAAAAGCAGTGTAAAAAAAAAAAGGATAGAAAAGAGAGGAGGACATTCAGAATTCAAAGACCAAAATAATACAAAACTAATAAGAATAATGTCTGTCATAATTGAATGTCTAATAGCATAAGTAAAGAAGTTAGGCCCTAGCCGGTTTGGTTCAGTGGTTAGAGCATCAGCCTACAGACCAAGGAGTGGCGGGTTCGATGAGGGTCAAGGGCGCGTACCTGGTACCTCCGTTGGGGTTCGTCCTGGCCCTGGTCTGGTCGTTTGGGAGGCAACCAGTGCATGTGTCTCTCTCTCATGGATGTTTCTCTCTCTCATGGATGTTTCTCTCTCTCTCTCTCTCTCTCTCTCTCTCCCCCCCCCCTCCCTTCCTCCCATTCTATCTGATGATAAGTAGAAAAATATCCTCCAGTGGGGATAAAAAAAAAGTTAGGATTGTGATTTATGAAGTCAGACATACATGGATTTAAATCTTGGGTTTGTCACTTAAAATTGTATATGCAAGCTTGAGCAAATTACTTACCCTTTCTCTCTCTCTCTTTTTTTTTTAATCCTCACCCGAGGATATTTTTCCATCCTTTGTTCAGGTAGAGTGGGAGGGAGAGAGAGGAACAGAGAGAGAGAGAGAAACATCGATGTGAAAGGAACACATCGAGTGGCTGCCACCCGCACGACCGACCAGGGCCGGGGACAAACTGCAACTGAGGTACGTGCCCTTAGCGGGAACCGAACCCAGGTCTCTCAGGACCGAAGGCCAACGCTCTAACCGCTGAGCCAAACCGGCCAGGGCCCTTTCTCTTTTTTTTTTTAATGCCCTATACTGCAAATTACTTAACTTTTCTGTGCCTCAGTTTCCCTACCTGTAAAAGATGCATAATAGCATCTACCTCAGTAGATGGGAAAACAAGCTAATGCATATCAAGCACTTATCAACGTGCCTAGTCTATGGTAAGCACTTGTTAAAGGTTAGCTATTATTGTTCTATTTCCTACCTCATTTAATCCTCACACAACAGCTCTGTGAGGTACATATTGCAGAGAAAGGAGACTTGATTGTGGGAGATTAATAGAGAATGTGGCATTAGGAGAATAGAAGGAAATTAGAACAAAAGAAAGATGTGCCCATTGCTCAGTAAACTGCCCCCTGAATCTGTAATTTAAATTTTTCTTTACCCTAATGAAATAATTGTAAGTGAAATCTTCCTTCAGCCTTTCAAAATAATATGATGTCATGATGCAGGAAAGGGCCGAATGCCCAGGATTGGAAAGAAATGATGAAGATCATCAGTAATGACTGTTGAGGAGCTCTCAGCCCTTCTAACATAATTTAGTCAAGGGTTGGAGGGTGATACTGGTGGTGATGTGGCTATTTTCTAACTGGTTTGGGATTTTAATGGAGAAAAAGGCCTTTTTTAAACCACTGACTTTGGGGGTAACTGGGTTACGAATGAAAGGTAACTGTTTTAAACCAGTAATTAAACAACCTAAGCAGATACTAAAGTTTTTATTTCAGGGAAGGAAATCCTTAGTGCAGAACCATAGAGGACCAGGGCTGGTGGCGGAAAGGACAGAATTATTCACTGGGAGATGATCACTTCTAACTTGGGCTTTTGTGAAGTGAATATTAAGGGGAAAAAGAAACAAAAACAAGGTGGCATTGTTCACCCTAAGTCTTAACTCTGAATATTTTATTCCCTATTCCAGAGCTTTTATTGTCTCTCCCTTTCCTACCAAATAAACCCAAAGTCCTAGTTTTAAAGATCCTTCTTGAACTGCCCTCAGTCTGTTTTTCCTGCCTTACCTTCTCTGTTCTGCTATTTACAAGACAGTTTTGGCTAAATTAAATTACTGCTTCTTGAGCATACTTGCCTTTGCTCATGCCTTCCTTCTACCTAAGATAATCTCTTCACTCAGCTGCATTCATTCTTCAAAGCTTAATGTTGATCATATAAACATAAATGATCTCAGGCTTCTACAAACTATTATAGTGCTTTGTACATTCTTCGCTTATGGGACTTTTCCCCTTTTTTGCGCCATTAGATCCGGGGGCAGGGACCATATTTTGGTCTTTGTCTCCCTCTCAGCCCCTGGCCAAGTGCCTTTCTCAGTGAGATCTACTCAAAAAACATTAATTGAATAAATGGCTAAAGGCCAAAACTTAGATCAAATGAATTTATTTCAGTAGCAGACCTAGGATATGAGGGGACAAGGCCATTGCAGGGACACATTGGTACAGTTGATTAAGCATGTCACCTCTTAGTACATTTGCATTATGGGTTTCTAGAAGCACCTTGTTCTCAGTCTAGGGTTTTATGGCCTTGGAGACCAGATGGATCATGGGCATTTCTTTGTTTTAAGAGAAATTGACTAAAATCACACTAGAAGTAATGGAACTAGAAATGCTTTTGGCATTCTAGACC